ACTCCGGGACGTGGTGTGGATAACACGATGGCGTTTGAAGCAGATGGTACTAGGTTCGAGTCTCGAAGTGGACATCAACCCCGGAATGCAGGCACATCCAGTTAACGATTCCCAAATAGGGCCAAATGCACGTCAGAATGTACTGCACAGCTGTTTCACTCTTAGTATGTGCATCCACGCCTTTGTCGGCGATCGAATGGAAGAGCTTCAGATTTCCTGGCAAGCACTTAATCATTATATGACTGAATCGGTCTTCACTGATTTATTACGTGTGTATTTGTTATCGATACTTAATATTATTCACTGCTTCTCCTATCTTTTTAAAAAAAATCTTTATCATTTGAAAGGACCGAAATAATTATTTGACTAATGGTAACAATCATATGAATGGTGGTATCTCTAACAATTTGGATTGGTCCGACAATAAATCCCATTTGAATCATTGGAATGAAATGGATAAAGAAATAAATTCGACAAATTTCCCTATAGATTCAATCTTATCCAACGGCACTAATGATGATACTATTCATCATATTGAAATATACACTCAACAAAATGATCATCCAGTTAAAAATAAATTAACTCAATCCACTGAATGTTCACAATTAAATGGCGATTGTTATCTATCATCTAGCAAAACATTGAACATGTTCAATGGTTGTTGTTCTATTGTCACAGACTCTAAATGTCAACTGAACAATCATCATCCTAATGTTCAACAGAAATCTACCAATAATAGTCTGACTGTTAGTAAAGGCGCTAGGACCGGTTATTTTGGTGATTATAATCCATTAGATTTGGTGAATCATAAAAATGTCTCCAAAGTAGAATCTTAGCACCAACAGCAATAAATGCATCAAATGAAATAAAAACATGGTGATCAGCTTAATGTAGACACTGTCGAATAGTTTTTACATAAAACTTAAACTTTTTGTTTTCAGTCCATTTGTTGCTTTTATTACATTTAATTAATAAATAAAACTGTGATTCTATGCATTGTTTTGAAATTTTCTTCTTCATTGATTAGAATGGTAATCGTTATTATGTTATGTTTTCAGAACCAAGTGATCTTTCCTTGTGACTCAGGTGATGGTTCTCTTCTTTTCATCCTTACTTTATAATATGCAAACAATGTATGATTGTAATTTGTAATTATTTCCTCTTTTGTGAGTTGATGAGTTGATGTGTATGTTTCGTGGAAATTACATGTTAAGAATGACAACAGCGTTGAACTAAGCAAACATACAGTGTTTGTGTATGTATTTGACTTGTAATTTTATGTGTTTTATTCTTTCATCTAAGAAGCACTAATTTCTCTCTTCAAAACTGTATATTGATTGGATTCGAACTGTTGTCTCATTTGAACAATTTATTTATTTTATCCTTTCTTTTTGTCTCATTTATATATATATATATATATATATATATATATATATATCAGTAATTCCTCATTAATTTGATATTAAGGGTAGTGATAATTTTAAATATTGTTATTCATCGTCTTCTTTTTCTGTATGTGTATGTATACACACTCTGGTATAATATTTTGCTTTTTATTCATATGTGTATAATTTCATCTGCATAGTAGCCATCCATTCATCCGTTCATATTTATTCATTTATAATACATAATAAAATCATGAAAAAAATGTATCAACATCACTTGTTCTTTATGTGACCTATTTCATTGTTCTTATGATTGCTATTACTACTCTTAAGACTACTACTACTAATACTACTGTTATTGTTGATAAGTAGTAGTGTCTAGTATTACTGATTCATTTCTACTCAGATATTTTCTATCACATTAATGATGAAATTCTTCGTGTGGTAGTAGTAGTATGATGTAAAAGTGTATCCCATTTGTTTTCTTCTCTATTTAGATGGATATTAAACTTGTCACGTGTGTATAAAAGCACTAATATTATTGATTTTTTATTTCCTGTTATACATTAAGTAATTTATATGCATATAATGTTATTCATACACTCGGAATAATGAATATATCTATGTCTTCATGTGGGTACTTATTAACTTATTGCTTGTTTAATTTTGTAAATTATTTTTAAAGAAAAAAATGTAAACAAAGAAGTTGTGCACAAATATTTTCTTCTTGTTTCTATGTACATTGCCTTGTTTGTTTATAATTATATTCGACTTGTATTAATATTATCAATATCACTGTTTATTTCTGTTATGATCATCAAAATCACAGTGCGGTTTTCATAGGTCACAGTAACATAGATCTTTTGTCCCACTCTTATTACTATTATTATTCTCATAGATTGTCAATAACAAATGTGTGTTTATGGTATTTGTTGCAAATTTCTCGATGTATTTTCAGTGAGAGATAGGAAGAGATGTGATAGGGTTATCGTATTCTTAATGGTTGGTTTATTAATTTGTAAAGCATTTCGTTATCTTCTTCATGAAGTATAATAAGAATGTTGTTGTTTAGTTTTATTTTATTTTGTTTCAACACATAAATTTTGGTACAAGGAGGCATCAAATACATATGCGCCACACCATATTTGTGTGTGTGTGGGCTGTGATACTGCCCGGGTGCCCAGACCGAAGCAGGTGGTTTTCTTAGGGGGCCACTCCCCGAGCCTTTGACTTAAAGGTCTGATCCACAAGGCGGTGGAGCATCGTGGGGAGATTCATTCACATGGTAGCCGGTGCCCAACGATTGGTTCATACGCCATTTGTTCGCGCATGATACTGGAGCCCATGTGCATCAGTTGTTGTTTAGAAAGAAAATGAACTGCTCTCAGAGGAAATCATTCATCTCGTAGTAGACAAATACCCTTATCATTTCAAAGGAATATAAATTCATATATGTATTGCGATGATTTAAGATACTAGATTTGACGTGTTATGAAAATCTTGAATGAAAAGTGCTTCGTAACTTTGTTTGTTTCGAAGGTGTATTTAGAAGAATACGGGGTTGGACACATAAGAATGTATTTACTTTTACTGGTGTATGTCACCAAGCCTCCACTCATTAAATCACTAAAAAATATAGCTGTACAGGTACTTTGATATCATTAGATGCTGGCTCTGTGGTCTAGAGGTTAAGCTTTCGCGTCCGAGATCGAAGGTCCTGGGTTCGAGTCCCGTATGTGGGATTGTGGATGCTCGTTGCTGACGAGTTTCACACTAGGACGAGACGGCCTTCCAGTGCTTCTAAGTATTCAATAGTGGTGAAGTGTTTATCGACTCATGGTTCAACTATTAGTGTGTACAGTTTTAATAAAGGTTATTATCAGCAAGGAAATTTTTTTTTGGATTGTTTCTATTTCTTCAACGGCATAGTGGATTTCGTTTGTTGTATTTTGTAGGAGTTTCGGAAATCTGTGTTACATACCTAATAAAACTAGTACCGTTGATCATCATCCAAAGAATATTCAGTAGCTAGTGTAAAATCAATCTTTTTGGAGTTAAATTGTGAAGCTTTAGACAGTTTTTTTACATATATCATTCTTCAAGTCTTATTTTACACATGAATTATCTTTTAAGTATGTTTATTCGACATTATATTGTTTGAGTAGATAGGTCTGTTAGTCAGTCATGTTTTTATTTTATTTTAATGATAATCTACTCTAAACATAAACGGTTGGACTGTTCGCTTCTTATTAAATAATCCTACTACAATTGGATATTATCAAATAATTCTGGTCAACAAACTGTTCTTATCAACATAAACAACTATTGAACTCAATAGCATTGTATCTTATTTTGGACTGTTAAATAGTTCATTAAACTTATTAAGATTTCAGTTGTAATCGTATAAACTGGTGACTCATTGCCTAATTCAACGAATCCATTTGAAAGTAAAGCTTAAATTATGAATGTATGTATTCGTTAAGGTTTTCTGTGACTCTAGTGTATGCTACTTATGTCGACTGATATAAGTAGTACTTAACACCAATCGGAAGTGGAAAACGTGGTATCAGAGGGCTATGAAAGTTGATTTAAAGCAATTAGAAAGAAATTGTGAATCAGAAGAATCATACAAAATCTGGAAGAAAAGTGATAAAAATTCGAAAATGACATAGGACTAGACACGCATGAGATTGATCACCACCCAGTGATAAATCAATTGTGATTACATCTCAGTCTTACAGGAGGTTAGTCGCGGCTCGGATAGCTCAGTGGTAACGTCTCTGACTGTGAAGCTGGGTGACGCGAGATCGAATCCGCCAGGGAGCACCAGTTCCCTCAAGATTACAGGTACACCTTGCTGACGAGTGCCAAGTAGCACGAAACCCGGGTCCAGGGTTTCCTGTCGACTACCTCTAACCACCATCTAATCTCAATATATAGTGCCCGCAGTGTCGAGTCACCTAGACTGGTGGCCACATTACAACATGATCGATAGCATTCGATCTGCACTAATAAGGACTAGACACGCATGACATTGATCACCACCCCGTGATCAATCATTTGTGTTATAAACAAAACATGCTACACATGAAAGATCATTATCAAGGAAAAACAAGCTCCATACTTCATCCAAAACCTAAAAGACTTGAAAGTGATTGCGTCACATCCCACTGTGTTTACTAATTTAAATTTGTGTGATCACACATACATAGGGAGGAGCAATCATGATCTCCAAATTAGGGTATCTGAACATATACCTAAATGGTTGCAACAACAATTAAATTTAAGTGACCCAATAAGAGTAGATGATAAACATCTATCATCCCCTATTGCCAAACATTTAGTTGAAACAGGTCATAAAATTGATCTAGACTTAGACCTTATGCTAGTTTGTATTATTCGACAACGCGTACCTGCGATTTTGTGGTAATTAGTGCTGACTGTTTGGTTCGAAACCGTATCATCACCGAGCTATTATATTAGTTATGGTCAACAGATCAGATAAATATAGCATTGACAATTACTCAGTGATCTGTTAATCAGAATTAATGTCACTAAAACTGTATTCAATCCTACTTATGGATTTTGTTATTTTCTTCCATATGATTACATGAATTACAATTGTGATTGAACTACAATATTTTTCGGCACAGTAGTTCTTGAATTTAATCGTTTCATTTCACTATTTGGTATCATTGACCAGTCGAAACATTTAAATTCTGTAATCGTTTTGGCTTGAAATCTTTTTTTCAAATTTTCTTCAAATATTTCAATTTCTTTGTCAGGATTCATTGGAGATTGGACTAGTTTTTCCTCAGTTTCTGCTTCAATAGGTACATTTCTTTTCCTAGGATTTACATAAAAATAGATTACAGAGATAGTTTGTTTGGAATAACTATATTTATACAGAAATATTTCAAATGAACAATTTACGGTTGGTTGAGCAATTTTCATCTACTTCTAAATGAATGTTAGTAAAATCTGAGAACCATACAGTAAATACTTCATTTGCAAATTGTCAAAAAATCGTCTCAGATTTGGTTGTTCTTTCCTTCTTACATCGATCATTCTCTATTCTCGTTCTGTTTTTTTCGATCTTCTTAACCTTCTGCCGCCCGTTATTTCATTTTCGATTGATGACACATACTATTTACATCCATCGACACACCACAACTGTATAATGACAATATTGATAATGAGTTCTATAAGTTAGGATAACACAACATCCTCATTCTGAACTAAAAATATTCTTCATTAATGCGACACTTAAGATTTTTTATAATTAAATTGTGGACAATCTTTAAGAAAGCTATATAAATATATATATATATATATATATATATATATATATATATATATATAATGCGTCAACAACTTTACTTATTTTGGAATTCTGATCGGCCCAAGTGGTTTGGTATCTGACAAAATCTCTGCACGTTTGGTTTTCGCCAACTTACGTCACCTATGGCGAAGGTGAGATAACCGTCTATCAATTGAGGGACGAGTATACTGCGCGACAGTTCGTTCTGTTCTACTGTACGGCTGCGTAACGTGGGCATTAAGAGAAGATACTCGTAAGCTACTAGTATTTGATCACAGATGTCTTAGAATTATTACTCGCATCTACTGGGATCACCGATTAAGTAATAGTGAGGTTAGACGCAAGGTATTAGGGAATAATGTTAAGTCAGTTGGTGAGGTTGTTAATCTTCACCGACTGACATGGTTAAATCACGTATTACGCATGCTCAACCACCGATTATTACGATGCGCAATGCTGATTAGTGATGGGGATGGTTGGAAAGAAGTTAGGGGCTATCATCAATCCATAAGTTCACTAACTTCTAGTCTGAGCTATGTTGGGATATGCAGATTACTTGGTTGTGGTCGGCTTGACTATCATAACCAGTGGTTGGAGACTCTGGATGACATGGCTCAGAATCGGTCACAATGGTGTGGATATATACACTCTTTGTACTCCCTTAAACCGTGAGATTAAAATCACTTTATATATTTCTACCAATTAATTCTTTCTTCCTGTGCTATATCTTTATATGTAATCCTTTTTTATATATTACCACCATTGAATTAACTAGTTTATGAATTTAGTGTTCATCTTGTGCTAATGTGGTGTGGCTGCTTGGATCGATACATATATGTGCGTGGTCCTACGTTGTAGCCGACTGACTTATGATTATTTTAAAGTTTTATGGAAGGAACAGCGAAAATTAAGAGTGAAATTAAATCTTTTTTTCAAAGAATAGAACAAAACCCGTCTCGTGAAACTGATTTATACATATTTTTTTAAAACATTATATATAGGTTTACTTAAGCTCAAAAGATACTCATTATTGGATATTATTATTAGTCAAGAAAACAGTATATCGAGAAGAGAACAAAAATAGAAATGTATTGATGATAATTTTGTATATGAAGAAAGGTTTGCTAAAGAGCTGAAGGAAAATAAGTGATATTTATCATTGGTTAATGCAGGATCAAATCCCATAAATAGCATCATGCCTCTAAAGATAGAAAATAATCCCTAATTATAAGTTCTAATTAACATTAAAACATAGGATATACGATGCCTATTAATTGAAAGGATTCAATCATCGTTTAGAACTAAACTAACAAAACATAGGTTATTACTCAATAATCATTGTGAATGTTTGACAAATAAGTCTATATCTTTTTGGTGTTTGAATATACATCCATAAAAGCAACATATTTATGAATCAAACTATTTTAAATTAACTCCAATGGAATTAAAATTCCTCTGGAGTATTTGATCAGAAAAAGAAAGACTGGTAACAGAAATTCAACAGTTAAGGTTGAATCTAATTTAACGTGAAACGATAAAATAAAATGCGGTCAGTTAAACGCTGACAATTATTGATTAGGAAATTATTTTATTATTTTTATTTGTACACATAGATATTGGTACAAGGAGGCACCAAATACATATGCGCCACACAAATTTCATTTGATTTATGTTAGGGATATGATACTTCCTGAGTGCCCAAACCGAAGCAGGTGGTTTTCTTAAGGGGCCACACCGGGAGCCTTCGACATGAAGGTCTGATCTACAAGGCAGTGGAGCAACGTCAGGAGATTCAGTCACATGATAGCCGGTGACCAACAATTCGTTCATACGCCCTTTGTTCTCTCAGGATTCTGGAACCCATGTGCACCATTGGTTTGGAATTAGGGTTTTCCAACCCCCTTAGGTGGACTCTCCATGTCCATTAATTCGGTTAAAGCGCCATACATTCGTTTTTCGTCCTCTTAATTTTGTAAACAGCACCCCTGATGCGAGAAGTTAGTGAGCAGGACTTCCCTGGCAGAGGCTATATACGCGTGGCCATGTGAGAGCACTTGGAGAGGGAGAGCGGACTCTCTTCACTCCCGGCCGTACCAGGGCATTCAGGGGAAAATATTCCCCCTAATTTCCATTTTCATATTCCTCTGCAAAATATCTTGAATATTAACACTGAATATCATTCAATTCTTTAATTTAATTACAAACAAATATTGATTACGTTTCTTATTACTTTCGACGAGCATATTTTTAAGGGGAATTATTTGTTTTCTTGTCGGTTCATAATCACATATTTCCTATTATTGCGTTAGATTAAACTACATGTTCTTTAACCTATTCAACAATTGTATTAAAATATAAAATATTGGATTTTATTTCTAGGTGAATATTAGCTAAGTGGATAACGCGATGGCGTTTAGAGCGAACGGTACTGGGTTCGAGTTCCAGAGTGGATATCAACTCTGGGATGCAGGTAAATCTAGTTGGCGAGTCCCAAATAGGACGAAGTGGTGCGTGTCCTGAATTCCACTGCTAACCACTATCCATCTTTGCTTATAAGGCTTGTGACTTCAGGTAATATCGAGGCAATACGCACAGTATGTACATATGCCGACAAGAGACTGATCAATGGCAGTCCTAAATAACAATGGGAAGACACAAGTAAACAACACCAGGTAAATACTAGTTGTATTTCAATTACTTCACAGTGTGTAAGGTAATCAAAGTCTTCATGATGACATTCTAAAATCTGGATACATTCTATGCAAAATGACCTCTGAAGTTATCCAAAATGCTTTTACTATTCGCTAAGTATGTCATATTGAGCACTTTCATTTAGCGCGTAAATGCTGCATATCAGAATGTAATTTACCCCTCAATCTCTAACGTTGACCACGTCTTTTTCATCCGGGATATCTGACTGCTCTACACTAGATACGTTTATAGCAGTCAACTACAACAAACAGTCATAACTCTACCAGGCTTCGACCAACGGGCCTAAAAGTTTTGCGTCAAACATTTTACCTTCCAATTACACAAAATTAACATCCATCAGCACACAGTTCCAACTTCAATTAACTCATAGTAATTTTTGATAAACGAAACAAATCCAGTACTCCACGGTTTTCAGTGATTGCCTAGCTAAAATCACTTCTCGATGTAAATTATCTTACTATCCTAGATCAGTTGTTTGATTGAATGTGAACATGATGTCAGTTATTTGCAAGTAATGATTCAACTCACTAAATAGTTAGGGTTAAAAGTTCTGTAAGATTTACATTTTAAAAATAATCATTATTAATTTTGTTTAGTAGTACAGGGGAATTTTCTGTTGGATATACTTACGGACACTTCAAAGGATAATACAAAAAAGAAAGGAGTGGATCAGAAAAAAAACTGAGGAAGATGGAACGCAGACGTAACCCAATCATCGGGCTGCAAAGAGACCTGAGAAAAAACTCATATTCTTTCTTTAAAGAGGAAATGTGTTGTGGAGTTCGAAAATATCCCTCAACAAAGTTTCTTGAAGCCGACAAAAATCCAAGATATGTTTTATTTAATCAGCATCAAACAGATGCCTCCCAGAAACATCTAGAAAAATGAAGGATCATGTGCCGTTTTTGACTGGATAATTACCCATGCCATTACTATATTTAGTATGTTTTCCCGAAAGTTCTAGACAACCAAGGTCATAAGGACTATAAGTTTACTCCATTTTTGTACTTAACCTCCTACTCCTAGATCGCTTTTTTTTCTCTGTTGTTCAAGTTGAAGTATTGAATTTGTCTGGAGTTGTGCGAAGTAGCTAGGATGTCAGCAGTAGCAAACCTATCGATTTTCATAGAAAAGCAGCACTATGTGGTCATGTGTTGTGACAGTGCTGAAGCTAAATAAAACTATCACAAGATTAAATCTTCTATGCTACTAAATTGGTCAACGCAATTAATCTCCCTAGCAGTAGTATTACAATGATCAAGAATACTCAGTCGTATCTCGTGTAATTAATACAAAGTGACACTGTAGACATAGATAATCATGGCTAAGTTTCTTTTGAAATGTCTGTATAGTACGACAATAATAGCTTACTGAGCTATGAATCACTTCAACTCTATTACAATGTTCATGTCTACACGATTGATTCGTCTAAACTATAAAGAGCCTCAAATATAAAGTATCAATTAATCAATTCATAAAACTTTTTATGTGTACTTATTATGGAAGTAAATAATGAGTTCCAAAAAATACTTGTTAAGTAAAACCAACCTTTTGCTTGATTGTTTCTGAATATACTTTGGACAATAATTGGTTTTTAATTTGCTCCACTTAAATTGATCTCTTAAGATTTCATGTTTATTCAGAACAGTCAATGTTGAATGTGAACTTAATAGTAAAGATTTAAAATCCGATTGTAGAACAGCGGGATTTCCAAGCAAATTAAGCTCACGTAGAAAATGCATTCTTGACAATTCTTTGTTGATTTCCTAGAGTAATAGGTTATATAAATGAAATATAATATATGTATATATAAGAAATTATGATTGCCATTTATACTGCTGGATCACTGAGAAGAGAACTATACGTTGTCTAATCCTTACTATTGATGAAATTCCATCGAACAAGTTTCATTATGACCATTAGTCCAGATAAGTTGATATCATATGCAATGTGGTGGTAGGAAACAATCACGAGGAAGCTATATTTAATTAAGGTTTCATATTACCTGATATTCATCAGCAGAGTGTATCGGGAATCTTCAACGGGCTGATCAGCCCAGTGGAATTTGAATTCACCTTATCTGCTGTCACATTTAGAAACCAGACAATTGACTTATTAAGTTCATAATATCACACTAATCACCTCGCACCAACTAATATTAAATATATTATCTATATTCAGTATGAATATCACCGATAACGATTTGCGAAAACGAAACTGTAAGCTTGTCCGGTAACAAAATTCATTCGATAAATTACCTTATTTACTAATTTCTTTAATATTATCAATCAGATATGAAAGTGAAATTTATTACGAGCTTATGTCATTTAAATAGTCAGTGAAAACTAGGCCACCATCGGTATAAGACTTTGCAGCAGTGTGCACCTGTGACGCTCAAGAGGTTAGGCGCAAGACCTTGAGGTTCCACGTTGAGTACGACACCACTACGAAACCGAGATGCAATAATAAAAACTGAATAATAATCATGAAATTCATTTATATAATTCTAATCACTTTGTGATGATTTTGTCAGAGTTGCATTCTCCTATATGGATTGCTTGATTGTGAAACTTTCATTACCTTTCTTTGACAACATCGTAACTACAGACTTCAGATAGAGGTAAGGTAGTATGATTTTTTGTTCCAATGACTAACAGCTTGTTTTGTTAACATTAACCTTGACTAGTTGTTGTCAACATTCATCATGTATTTGTCTATTTGCTTATTTTGGTTGTTTCTTCCAGTTGATCTCATTCTTGACCTTATAGTTGTGATTTCTCTGATTGGCTGGTAAATTGGATTGATTTTAATATGTTTATTGATCTGGATACCCAGCTTCTAGAATTCCTCTGATCTTTTCTCTGTTACCTCTGTTTAATAATTCAACATTTTCCAAGTCGAATGTGCTCAAAATTGTCAACATATTCTAATACAAACAAAGATTCGTTATGGCGTTTGAAAACTAATTGGTGTCCGTGTAGACGAAGAATTGCAAAGTCACTACTTTGTTCTATGTAATATTTCTCGTAGTCGGATTAGTCTGTTTTGTAACTATATTCGGAGATTTTTTCTTTAGTCATTCCGTCTTCTAGTTTGCATAAGATTGATTGAAATGATTTGGGTGACGTGTGCGCTATGCTTATTCTAAATGACCTCAATAATATGGTGTGAATTTCTTTTGTGTCCTTTATTTATGGTAGAATGACCGATTTGTTGTTTTCCACATTTAATTTCATGCATGTTGATGGGTTTGAGAAACGGTTTTTATTGAGGTTAAGTGTAGAAGTGTTATTTTGAAAAATTGCCATTAAAGATGTTTCTTCATTTCTTGTCATGTTAGTTGTGTTATAATGTGTTTTCACTTTGTTTTAATTGCGTTTGTACTCAGATGACTTTGAGTTATTGGGCTTTCGTAAATCCAGTTGGGAATTTATTCTGTTTGTGTTGGCTTCTTATACACTGATTGTCCTGATATAATACTCGTTATCTTTATCATCTATGATCAAGGACGGATAGATCAAATAAGAACTAGAATATAAATGTTCCTGAATGTATATTTAAGCGCTTGAATTGACTAACCTGTACAGTAGTAAAGATAATCAAATTGTAATAGAACTAAATGAACAAAACTGAACTGAAATAATAATATTATTGGAATAACACGAGAATTAGACCTCTTTATTTATTGATTCCGGGAATCGAAGTCACCTGCACTTGTAGCCCATCGCATCATTCAGCGAATAAAAAACAGTTCAGCGAGAAAAATCACTTTTCGACGAAATCATTTACTTAAGTTGTACATTCGTATTTGTAGTTGTTTGGTAAATTTATGTCTATAGAAGAATAGAAAAGATCACGTCATAAAGTGACTCAAGACTGCAATTATCAAGTGACGTTACGTAATAATCACGGGGTTAGAGAAGAATAGGGTCAGAATTACGAAAACTAATTGCTCGCTTGACAGATATGAAGAAAAATTAAAAACATAAACGTCATTACAATAATAAAAACTGAACAATAATCATCAAATTCGTATATGTTTATATCACGCAGCGCGGCTTCTAAGAAGAGAATACGAAGTTATCATCAGTCCAATACAGGAGCACCTGGTCAACTCTGGACGCATTGTTCCAAAAGAGTCTTTCTTTAAAATAATCTACACAATCAAATGAACTGGATCGAATGTACTGCTTAAGTAAATGATTTCGTCAAAAAGAAAAACTTCCTTACTGTATTCTAAAGCAATTAGTCCCTTTTATAAATTTCGACAGAACAATGAAAAGACGTAGTTGATCTGAAAAATGTGATGTATTTGGGCTATACATTTCGAACAATCTGGTCACACATATACTTGTCAGGGCATTTTATATGAATTCCCTTTGTTTATTCAATAACATAATGCATTATTTTAATTATACCCAGGATTGCACTAGACTAGTCTAATCTGCATTACATTCAAGTGAGTTTTAACTATCCAGAGTGTCAATGTGTCTCAAGTATTTATAGACTGATATGGTAATGGACTATGATTAAAAGAGATATAGATAGACAGGTAGTTAAACGAAAGAATAATCGAAGGATTTGTGTTTAAGACATTCGAATTAATCACACTACTGAGAAGAAGTTAATCAATACAATTGAATTAATGCATTTAACACTCAAACGCTCCTTCACATATCGTATTCGAAATAAAGTATGCAGTTATGTTAATTTAACATGTCTTTATTAAATATCATACCAACTTTCCACAGTTGGTTCTGATGATGATGATGATCTGCTCATCTAAGAGTAATACGTTTGATATTTGACTTCTTCATGGTAGATTTTATATCGTTTATACGTGAGAATAATTTTCTAATATAAGGAATAAATTGTCGTCACTTTGTCCTATAATTTCATATCGATTTAAATTGTTGAATGCACAACTATAAAATTTCTCTAGCATAACAAACAGCTAAACACATATCACCAATTTCATGTAAACTGATTCAATGTTCAAATTTTCAGTATTGACGCTACGAGACAAAGATTATTGATTGAGACATAGTTTTTTTTAACAACACATATAATCTGCTTTATTGTTTTATATAGTTAATTAATGACCTGGTACCTCCGAGAGTGGGGAGAGCTCGCTCTTCCTCACATGACCACACGTATACATCCACTGCCTTCTCGTGGCGTTTGTGTTGTTTACGAAATTGAGAAAACGAAAAGCGAATGTCTGGCGTTTTTAACCGGGTTGGTGGATAAAGAGGGTTCATTTAGGGGGGAGGGGTTGGAAAACCCTGGTTCTAAACTAATGGTACACATGAGCTCCAAAATCCTGAGGGAACAAATGGCGTATGAACCAATTATTGGTCATGGACTATCGTGGGACTTGATCTCCTGACGTTGCTCCACTGCCTTGTGGGTAATACATTTAGATCGAAAGCTCCGAGTATGATCTCCTAAGAGAACCACCTATTTCGATCTGGGCACAGCTCACATACAAATCAAGTGACTTGTGTAACTTCTTTGTACCAATATTAATCTGTTCAACCCGGGTTAAACATAATATTCACATTATAAATCCTCATTCAACTTACCATTATATTATCTAAATGATTATTTGATAAATCTAATATTTCAAGACAATGTAATTGATATAATTGTCCACAGATATTATGTAATTGATTTGAATTTAATCTTAATTCTATTAATTTATTACATTTAATTAAACAATTATTTAAATTCATTAATTGGTTATTATGTAACCATAAACGTTTTAAATTTAATAAATAACCAAATATATTTTCATTTGGTATTAATTTTAATTGAATATTAGATAAATTTAAATCGGTTATTAGTAACCATAGATGAGATAAATTAGAATATGGATGATGATGATTAGATTGATAGATTCGTTGATAATCTTCTAGACGACATTTCAATGCTTGAAGTAATTTATTCAATTCCAATTTATCAGTATTATTATTATTATTATCACTAAGGGAATGAATGAAATTTTCTAAATAATTCACTGGATCAATATACATTCTATTATGTGTAATATCAAATTGGATATGATGATTGTTATTATTATTGACTTAATTTGTTTTGTTTATATTAGATCATTTGAATAGTAATAATCACCTGGACAACATCAATCTTGTATGGATAATGTCCAATAGAGTTACTTCAATTGTGTGTGTGTGTGTGTGTGTGTGGTTATTATTGAATCACATTTAAGTGATGCACTTTAATTGTAATTACGGTATGAATTTGTTTTAAAAAAGACTTTTATTCTACGATCATAAATAAATTAGTTGTTAGGATGTTCTTGTTTTCCTTTTAAGGTCTTATTCGATAGAATGTGAGACAGTGAATCGATTTTAAGTGCCTTTATGTTCTTTTATTAAATCGATAATAAAGACGATTTTGTTTTATAAGAATTTGAGTATTGAGTAGATTGTTAATGAGAAAAAAATTGTAGATTCAATAAGTTGAATTTATGAGTCAATTGAAGCCAGACCAATAATAGGACGAAACGGTCGTTCAGTGCTTTCAGGTTCTCCATGGTGGTCTAGCTTCAATAGATTCATGAATTCAACTATGAAGTTACTATAATATCCACAAAACTCCTTTTTGATTATAATCATCATATGCTCACTAGTGACGGTCTTCAAGAGGTATTTCCTGGAATTCTAGTGAGAAGTAGTGATCAGAGCAGTTCAACCGAGTCTGTTGTGAAATAGTTAACTCACTGAAGACAATGGTGGACAGTGGCACAATTTCGTGGATTGGTTGAAGTTAGACATTAACACCGATGGATGCCGGCTCAGTGGTCTAGAGGTCGAGCGTCCGCGTGCGGGATCGTGGATGTGCACTGCTGAGGGGTCCCATACTAGGACGGAACAGTCGTTCAGTGCTTCCATGTTTTCCATACTGGTCTAGCTTCAATTGACTCATGATCTCAACTATTAAAATTACTATAATATCCACAAAACCCCATTTCTGATTATAAAATTAATGAACCATTTCTTTAAGTAAACACACATTTCATACTATTGACAAACTATAATGTTTTTATAAAATGATAAATATTCTGTATATACGTAATTATGCAATTCTAATTTCAATACAATACATTTGAATGAGTTATCTGTTTTCAATTTTGATCCAGTCGTGATTATAAGTGTTTGTACTGGTTATCATTAAGAATTACTAATTTTGTATATTACACTCTATGATTGTAATACTCCACAAAAGAAAAAGTGTTACATGCATACAAATATTATACAATGCTACTCTTCAATTTCCTATGCACACTATCTTTCACGCAAATACATTCAGGTAGATCTTATAAAGAATCATGTAGATCTGATTGGAATGACATTATATATAAGATTAAATTTATCTTCATTTTCATTGTATTAAACTTATTCTACTTGGTTACCTTAATATGATTTAAACTTGTGTTCATTTTGGTTTGGTTATTTATTTATACTTTAAAAAATTGATTCATGAAACAAAAAAGACAAACTGCAAATGTCTAATATTCAGTTTTCTACGGATTGAAATTTTTTGAAGCAAATCATCATTTCTATTACTTCATAAAGACAATTTTCATTATGATTATGACTATTTGTTGTAAGAGTTGTAAATATTATAATTTAACTTGTAGATTAGATGTGCCATGCTTTAATTTGACAAGTTGTAACTGTTGAAATTCAATATTGTTGAACTTTTAAGTAGCCAAGGGATCTGAATTCAATGTGAGATCGTTTCTGATTGCCATTGAGATATACATATTGTCAATCTTTGTATATAATCATCGTCTGAAATTGTGTTAGTCAATAACGGAATTAAATAAATCAAATACGAGAATGGAATTTTGAATATACACTTACTGATCTGAACAGGAAACCAGAGGAACGAAACGAAGGAAGCGGAGAGAAGAGAGTAAAGCGAAATGACGCGCAGTGGAGAAAGCGAATGAGCCAACTCCATTTGGTCAAGCGTTAATCAATATTTATAATCACGTAAAAATAAGTTACAGACATGTGATGAGTAGGATAAGAAGTGAGCACACACATACGCTCATATAAAAACAGTCAACTTTGATAAGTGAATAATTAACACAGTCAAAATATGACTCAAGTAGAATGAATAGATTGACCTGTCCGAAAACTAGAATAAATTATATGGGCTTAACATAATAACCGATACTACAAGCTTTAAACAGTTACTGGGTTATGTTGAAAGCACTGTCGTGAACTAATTAAATTTCAAAATGTACACTACTATATGGCAGCCTAATGGTTAAATAATCAACAGCTCAATGATTGAGTCCGAGTTTCTAGTAGAATTATGAATGTTCGCTCACGAGGATTCTCATACTATGAAGAAATTGCTCTCAGTTAATTCTTCGTTTTCAATGATCGTTTGATCATTTGTCGAGAATTATTATTATTATTCATTACTGTCAGTTTTACAGCTAGATCTGTTTTGTTTATAATCATTTGCACATGCTTCTTGTGGTCAGTCTTGTCATAAACTCTTTTCTCTGCTCCTTATCATGCAGAATAAACCTTTATGGTTATAGAAAGTAATTATTATTATTTTTATCAGTAAACTACGTTGCTTTATGGGTACTTTTTCACAAAACAATGTCCATGAGACTTAATCGTAAAAAAAAACAGTGCATATAATGATAATTCTGAGCACCCATTGTTCAATTTTTCTCAAAATTCTGGTTCTGATATCACTGTCTTCAGGAAATCGGAGACTGTACACAAGACACTTAGACTGATCTTCCGTCTTTGCTGATAGTTTAAACCGCTCGCGTTCTTGATTTACTAAACCTATATGTTTCACCCAGTCATCATCACCGGCTTTTGTTCTCTTGAGGCACTGATAATGGATATTAGACAAATATGACTGTTCCACAAGGATTTGTGACAGGGTGTCAACTGTTGCATCGAAAGTAAAATCTATTGGGTTATTTGAAAGGATGAACCTACGCTAACATTCGTGTTCATCCGTGCCAAGTTTTCTTAGGAGTATTCTGATCTTGACGGCGTCAACACGTTCATTTTTTTGCGTTATGATTTCCAGGATACGAACTTGAAACTGTTCATATCGCTTTTCCTGATGTTAGACCAGAAATTCTACTTGTTCAGGAGCGGTTGTCACTGTCAACAGTACACCTCGTCGCCAGTGTTATGTTCTCTACTTGATTACTGCGGAATGTGATATATAACTAACGGCACTCGAACGCGTAAAACCCTGTATTGCGCGTAGCTTCATTAGACGTTGACCCTCTTAACCGTTATCGCTGAGATCTCACGGGATTGAATTCAGAAGGCGATAATAAGCTGCGACTGTCATGAACAGAACACGAGTGGGGACAATCGAATGTATTTAAACACGAAATTACAGAACATCTCACTAAAATCTGAGAACGTACAGTAAACAGTTAATTTGCAAAATATCAATCCATTGTCTTAAACTCGACTGTTCCTTTTTGCAAATGTCGGTCCATCTCAGATTTCATTGTTCATGCATTTTCATACCAATTGCCTACCTCTCCCGTTCTTTCCTTCTCGATCTTTTACTGAAATACATTCTATACCTGACCATCGTTATATACTACTTATATGGGTTTAAGTAGCTCACACCTCACGACTACAATTTATTGGCTGATTGCACAGACCACAGAATTACAAACACACCAAGCGGATTTGAAGCGAAAAGGCCAGCGAATCATTGCGTTCGAATATAGAAGTAAATCCATAGTCATATCAAATAAATACACAGCGACTCAAAGTACAGTTTGTTTTTATGATACAAGTACATATATATGAAGGAAGGAGGATGATACATCGAGCTCTATTTAAGCGAATAATATTTGAGTTACCCAGAAATGTGCGTAGGTCGTAATAAGCGTTCAAATATACCTGTTTACGCAGGCATTTTAGCGATCCTACTAGTACAAATAAGTGAACGAATTGTTACTATGTTGATAACATTGTCTGTCAGATGAAAAAGCTTGATAGAAGTTAACCGTTATCGAAATTGACCGTAATAGTGTTACTACAACCCCATAGTCGCAAATCAAAAGACGGAAGAAGCAGCGGAACTAGGTATTTGGTAAGAATGAAAAATGTACAGAAAAACATGAGTATTTATAGTCATTAGTATTGGCTATAACATCAATATAATTCAGCCAATCCTCGAAGATGCAGATTACACTATCGTCTAGTCATGGCATACCACGTCGGTATTCTAGAAAGTCACATCAGGTTCTGAGTTGATGGAATCTTTGGCTTTCTTGGAGGCATCTAAGGCCTCGCCGTGCTTTCTGAAGTATTCCCAACATCTCTCCGGAATAAGGTCCACTTATAACTTGACAGCTGGTTTGCGGCAGCGTTCTGTCTTCCTGACGTCCTTCAATTCCGAACTTTCAGCTTATTTTTCTTCATTTTGTCCTTGGAATTTCTTATCATTGGAGTATCTGTGATTATCTCTAGCGGAAGACTCACTTATCCACCTGCCGTACTTATTGTCCTTTTTCTCAATGGATTTGCTTGATATATATAATCCATTTTCCGAACATCTCATGTATTTCGTAAAAAGCGTTTTCTATTCTCTTGTCAGTAACTCCAGGTTTTCATAGATTTTTCCCAGGGTGTGACTTGACGACCACTTTGTCATCCTTATTAAAACTTTAGATATTCTCATTTCGTCCTCACCCGTCTACTGTTCAAGGTGGAAACATGGCGCTGGATATAGTTCAAATGCCTCTTCCAAACACTTCTCCGTCTGGGATAGTAGGGTTGGGTGTAGTTCTATAAGCTACTAAGAACTTCATGATTATCTAAGTTGTTTACTCGTCTCCCCTTTTCAGTGATGCTCTTTTAAATGAGTCGACAAAGCGTTTTGCTTGTCCATTCCGTTGCGAGTGATAGGATGGATAGTGTGTATCCATCATTAAATTATTATTGCGGAAGTATTTGAACAATTCCGAAGTGAGTTATGAGACGTTGCCGGCTACTAAGATCCCTGAAACTCCA